ACAGAATGAGTTTCTACTGGATGGAAGGAACATCAACATTGAAAACTCAGGCAATGCAGGCGAAAACTAGGCAGTGACCTAAAACGACATGAAGTTCAGGCAGAGGACTAACAAACTACAATGGTTCACCTGTTGAACGTTGCAAGTAGCCAGGATTCTGGTCAGTGGCTGCAGCAGCCTAGGCAACCCCCAGCTGGGGTTCTCGAACGGACGTTGAAGCACGTACCGGGCTACACCGCCATAGCAGTTGTAGAGTTCCTCCACGGTCGCCTCCGGCACTGCACTATACATCTTGCTGCAGGCACATTTTTGGTGCAAGGGAAAGCGAGGGACAACTGTGGCCAAATGTGGTTTAGTTAAGGCCTGGGCTGAATCATCTCCATAGTAAAGGTTTAATAAAGAGGACACATGTTTGTACCTGTGTTGTGCTGCGAAATGACTTGTTGTCCTGAAGAACTCTTTGACCAGCACCCTCACCTTGTCTTCTATGTGGAGTCACTCAGTTAAACAGCTCTAGTTGCTCTTCACCAGTGACCTACTCCACTGATAAAAAACGTTGAAGTGCTTTGCTGCTAGGTTGCTTATGCGAGGTGCTGCAATCCTATTCTTCAAATCAAAGCTTAAATCAAACAACACTATGCTTCAGTGAACAATATCTGTCACCTTCACAAAAAAGGGGCTGCCATACACATAATAACAGCCATGTTGTCGACTTATGCCGATACCAACCGTGATTCACTGTACTACTGCACAAAACCCAAGTTATAATCCAAGAATATCACAACATCCTTTCAGCACTAGTTGCAGCAGCATGCATGATGTGAGCTAGCCCTCCAGACCAGCTCCCACCCAACCTGCCTCACACCCAGCACCTGTGGCAGTCAAGCAGCTCCTTATGCTCCCAGAAAGGCATGTACAGAACCTCCGCAGCCTCCTTATCCATCTCCTGCAGGCCGAGGGAGGGAAGGGTGACAGGCCTTCATTCTCGCCTTCCTATTTCATTAGGTTCATTAGGAACGGATACCATAAGGTGGCAACTAATGCACGAATTGTTCTGGATGCTGTGTGCCAGGTGCACAAGTAAGGTCAGTGTATGGTGGTACACCTTCTAGTTCCATCTGAGCCCAAGATGCCTACCTTCATTGTCACATACACG